GGCGGGGGGCGGCCCCGGGGCGGTGCAGCTGCCGGGGCGCGGAAAAGGGCGGAGGGGGAGAGGAGGGGATGGAAGCGCCTGTGCGTAACCGCGGCCCGGCGCGAATCCGCCCCGCGAGGGCTTTTAATGAAGTACAGATGTTCCCTAATATAATTATGTCGTCCTCGCCCCGATAATTGGCTTTGGCAGCCGCGCCGATCGAATCCCCCCTGCGCGGATGCTGTGCCCCCCTCCCGCGCCGGCATCCCCCCCGACACCGCGGCCGGGCACTGCCCTGGGGACCCCTCTCCAGGTGTACCCCGCATGTCCAGCACCCTTCTCCTGAGAACCCCGCGCTTAGGGACCTGCGATTGCAGTGGATGCTTTTGGCTCACAGCAGGTGAAAATTGAGGGGCAACGTTTGTTTGCTTATTTCTTGAAGTGCGTGTCCTTAGAAAGCACGGGCTTGCTTTCTAACTGGGCTGCTGCTCGCAGGCAGGGAGGACAAAACGCCCCGGTTACATAAATGAAAGTTTATCACACACGTTGGGAAAGGGCCGTGTTATTGAACAGGAGCACGGCACTGCTTTGGGGTGGCAGCAGAGGGTGTCCTGGCTGGCTGAGCAGGGCCAGCACACCCCGTGCAGCTCCCTCGCTATACCTGTGCTCTCAATGGGCCAGGTGAGTTGCAGCTGGTTAAAACACCCCGGTTCTCCCCAGTTTGGTTTTTCTTTAGGGAATTTGCCAGTGAGGACACGCTAATACAAGCCAGATGTGTGGGTCTTTTATGCATCTGTGTGGGGAAAATGGATCAAGCCCACAAATTCATCTTGCAGAGGAAAAGCAGCCAACACAAGGTAATGATTTCTAGTCACTACAGGCCCCAGACCACACTGCTTTCACCCGATGACTCAAAGCCGAAACCCAGCCATGCCATTCCTGCTGACACTTAGACACTGTGAGGAGTGTAAATACTTCAGATAAGCAGGATTAGGGAATTCTCCTAGCCCAAGGCTGCAAAGGGGAGCCACAGAGAGCCTGCACATCTGAACCTCTCTCTTGTCAGCTTGGGCAGTGTCTAAGGGGTTGGGCATTTCTGTGTGTTAACACAAAATGCAGGTTGGAAGTCAGCTCCCCCCACCCCAAAAAAGAGCACATCCTGCCCTCTCCTTTTGCACAGTCCAGGTTTTAACCACCAGATTTATCAGCTTTTTTGTGTGTGTTTTGTTTTAAGTGAAGGCAAAAATTACAGTCCTTTCAAGCAATTACCAACTTCTCAGCACAAGCCCACAAGCATAGTCACGCTCTCATTTTATATTTACCAGTGGCACCAAGGTGACACCTGTGGACTGAGAATCATTTTGTGCCTATATGAAGGGTAAAGGGGTGGCTCTGCCCAAAGACTGGGGCTACATCAGTGTTAACTCTGCCCTCAGCACGAGGAGCTCTGCCTTTGCCTCAGCAGGAACACTAAAATGCTCCTTGTTTTTACAACTGTGCTCTACAGATTTCTAAGGGACCCAAGCAGACATGGCTTCACAAGCTGTGCAGGACAGGGAGTATCCTTGGTTTGCCTTAGACTGGGCCCCTTTGGGGTTTTGCTCACCCTCCAATACCCCCATGGCTGCTCAGATGACACAGTCACAGAGACAGAAGTGATGCCATGCCTTCCAGCCACTATTTTCCATATTGTTCTTGATTCAGTTGTGATCCCCAGAGAGCAAAGGCATGGGGAAAGTGTAATGTCAGAGGCAGCCGTGTGTATTCCCGAAGTACAGATGCCTCTAGAGCTGATGGCTTAGGAGGCAGGATGGGGATGAAGAAACTAAGATTACCCTTTCCTCCAGTTTCACTTCAGCCACAGTAGAATCTTTTCTTAGGAGGGTATAAATACAGAAGATGTGAGAGAGGCACAAAATCAATACAGTCTGGAACAATGTGACTTGAACAGAGGACAAGCAGCCTGACGGACGGACTGCAGTTTCTCTCTTAAGGTCTTTTTTTGAAATGTTAATTTTTTTATTTTAAAAACCAGCCCATCATAATTACAGGCCCTCACTTAGACTTCCCAATCTTCCTCTAAAACCAACACAGAAATAACTTCAGAGAACTACCTAGTTTAGTTTTCCCTCAAGGGCAGATGCAGGAGAACATTCACCCTTAATGGGGGAGTCCTCCAACCTGAGAGCTCTTGAGTGAAGATACAAGTAAAACTCACACACTTACCTTATTGGCAACATCCTTGTGGTTTTTTATGCTTCATGGACCTTTCAGCAGGAGTCTTCTTCTCCCCTCAGGTCTACAGATCAGTACTTTTCAGCTGCCTCTCATTGACTCAGTTTTTCCACCATCTTTCCAGGTGTTAAGCTGATAAGTGTGTGATTTCCAAGGACCAGCTTTGTCAAAGAGAGGATGAACAGTGTACTCACTCCTCTCCGACCTCTGTTATAGTTCCCATTCTCCACCCGTTATTAAAGGTAGATGGTTCAGAGCTGGCTTCAACTTGTTCCTTAGATATTCCAGGGTAATATTCCTCAGGCTTTGCCTTTTTCAGTGTACCTTTTGTTTCTGTGCCCCTCTGCAAGTAGGTACTTGCTGTTTCCTGAAGTTATTCTCCTAGAAGCAGAAAACAGGGAAGCTTACTGTAAAATTCAGCCACTAACAGGTCAATCACTGATTTTGTTCTTTATTTAGTCCCACTTTAAGAATAAACGGTTTCTTAAAAGAAACAAGGTAACAGAACTGTTTGATCCCGAGCAAATAAGAACAACGCCTTTCTCCCCCTGGGATAAGGCACCTGTCCAACATTTTATTAACTTTGCTAATTGCATTAAGCATCCTGCAGTGCTGAACAGTCATCAGCTGCTAATTCCCAGACCTCTATAGTTGAGTTGACTGTTAAATGAGAAAAATTCATAGCAGGAAAAGAAAAAAAAGGGCATTTTAGACCCACAGTAGTAACCAAATTATTATACAGTTCTGAATTCTGATCAGGTCCCAAGCAGTGATCATATTTTATGAACTACTGGAAGATGATGTTAGGACTCACACAATAAATATGAGCTATGTGGGCACAAGTGAGATTGATAAATAGATCTTACATGTTGAGACATTTCTACAAACAAGAAAAATTAGATTTCCATATGTGAATATTTTATGCAGATTTTTATGCAGATAATTTGTACCTGCTCTTTCATTTTGTTACCTGTAGTACTACATGTTAATGTAATAATAATCTAAATTTACATACACAAATTACTGGAAGGTCTGGATCTGGCACACAGGGGAGTAATTTCTGGCTGGAAACATTAGCAGTGTGATAACTATTTAGACAACTATATGAAATGAAATAAGCACTTGTCAAAGGAAAAGTGCATTGTTATGAAAACTGGAATTGGTATAGTCTCAACTAAAAATGTAACCTGTGAAAAAGAGTTAATTAGAAATTTTCTCCTGCCACTCTCCTGCCTTACTGCTTTTCCTGTTTCTTTCCTGGGATGAAATCCTGCCCCCCAGGAGCAGAGAGCTGGGGAGGCAGAAGCAGCTGTACCTTGCTGCAGACGTGGAAAAGCAGTAAATCACAGCTCAAAGTGGAGGGCTGGCAGGGACCAAACATGCCTGTGCCAGAGGGGGACCCTGTCCAGGCTGTGTGCGACCCACACACAAGGACTGGTGGTGCCTGCACAGTAGGTTTGGCATGGGAAATGTCAGCCTTTAATTTTGGTCCTGACAGTATTGAAGACCTGAATTCTGCTCTGCACTAACAGGAAAAGCAGCAAGGTTAGAGAGGACACATGGAAGAAGCTGCAGCTGTCCTGCAGTCACCATCAGACGGTGTTTTCCAGTTGACATCTATCCACATTTTCCATTTTTAAGAAGCACAAGGGCATTTTGACCATAGTTTTGTGAAAGTAATATTATTTCTGTCTTTCATTATTTGTTCACCAGGGAACCCATTCTACAGCCAACCAGAAGAGAACTGTATGGAAGGAAGCAGGAAAAAAAAAAAAGAGAAAAGAAAGAAAAAGCCAGTCAAGCTACTGCTAATCATGTTAATTTATATATGTTGTTTATGATTAGCCTGTTTAAACATTTGGGTTTTTTCTTCAATAAAGACCACATCTCTCCAGGACTCTCATCATGTCCATTGTCTTTGTGACAGAGAGTAGAGATAGGTACCAATTACTTGGCTGTTATTTAGTGAGTACTCCAAAGTACTTTGATGCAGCAGCATTGTAAATTCTCAGTAGCAGCTAATTGTCTCATTTTAATTCATTTTTAATGAGACACCTGGGAGAACGAAGAAACATCACAAAAACACAAAAACCCCAGAATATTCTTGAGTCAGTCTCCCAGTCTCTCCTCATTTCTGCCTTCCTACAAAATGACATTTTGGTACTAGCACACAAAGGTGCAACCCCTTGGCTTCACCCAGCTGGGTGACAGCATCATTCCCTGACACATCATAACCTTCTCCCACGGGCAAGGGAGGACAATGGTAGAATCTAGGAAACACCATGGCAGGAGTCCAGAAAGAAGAAGCCTCTGGTCCTCAGACATTCCACATCTTCATCACTTCTGTCTCTCTAGACAGGCAAACCACATTTCCACAGTT